AGCTCCCAGGAACTGTTCATTCATTGTTCATTCCTGAAGCTCCCAGGAACTGTTCATTCCTGCAGCTCCCAGGAACTGTTCATTCATTGTTCATTCCTGCAGCTCCCAGGAACTGTTCATTCATTGTTCATTCCTGAAGCTCCCAGGAACTGTTCATTCCTGCAGTTTCCAGGAACTGTTCATTCCTGCAGCTCCCAGGAACTGTTCACTCATTGTCCATTCCTGCAGTTCCCAGGAACTTCCCATTCATTGTTCATTCCTGAAGCTCCCAGGAACTGTTCATTCCTGCAGTTTCCAGGAACTGTTCATTCCTGCAGCTCCCAGGAACTGTTCATTCATTGTTCATTCCTGCAGCAGGAGCCCTTGGAGGGAGAGGTGGAGTGTTCAGCTGAGCTGTGCAACCAGCCCAGGTGATTTCACACCTGTGCCAGCCTGGGAAGGTGCCCTGGGCTAGAAATGCAGAATCTGGGTGGTTTGGGAGCCTGGAGCTCTCAGAGCATGTGGCAGCTCTGGGTTTGGGTCTGTCCTTTGGGCTCATGGCCAGGGAGGCTGCCCAGGAGCCCAGGGCAGCAGCAGAGCCCGGCTGGGGCTGTGCCCTGGAAATGGAAACAGAGAGACAAAGCCAGGCCTTGTGCTGCTGGTGTTGTGCACACGGGAGTGAGAGGTGCTCAGGGCTGTGGGATGTAGGATAATGAATAATAACAGCCTGGGAATGAACCTTTCCTGCCAGGGCTGCCCCACCCAGCCCTGGCTGAGGATCTTCCTGCAGCTGTGTCATTTTAGACCGTGGTAAAAAGGACATTCAGCCAATATCTAAGGCTGTGCCCTGGAAATGGAAATAGAGAGACAAAGCCAGGCCTTGTGCTGCTGGTGTTGTGCACACGGGAGTGAGAGGTGCTCAGGGCTGTGGGATGTAGGATAATGAATAATAACAGCCTGGGAATGAACCTTTCCTGCCAGGGCTGCCCCACCCAGCCCTGGCTGAGGATCTTCCTGCAGCTGTGTCATTTTAGACCGTGGTAAAAAGGACATTCAGCCAATATCTGCCTGTTTCCCCAAGAGAACAGCCCAAAATCCCAGGTCTGCCCTGAGTGGAATTCCTTCTGTATGTGATTTATGCCATGGATATAATAAGTCAAATGTGCCACCACCTAAAGAACCCTTTTGCACAGTTATAATCTGCAATTATTGAAAAAGAAAACAGCTGCAAAGCACTTTCATGGCATGATGGAAGTTAATGAAATCATTTATTTTATGGCCTTTTTACCGAGCAAAAAGGTCAAAAAAATATCTGTAGACTGTCTTAACACCACCTCATAGTGTGTGGCTGGGCAGCAGCATAAAATCTGCAGAGAGACTTGCAGTCCTAAAATTGATGCTGTCATTCCCCACTAATGCTTTTATCCCAGATTTAATGCCAGTAAATGAAACTGCTTTGGGTTAAATGCTAGGAAAATTGGAAAAGTGTTTGAGTAGCTGCTTTCAGCTCATTTGGCATCAATAATTATAGCAGGTGATGATTTACTGTGTGGGTAAATAACTGGCTGTCAGTAGTGTGGACATCCTTGGGACTAAACAGAAGAGTATAAATATCATAAACTGATCACATCCCTGCTCCAGCAGAATTGGGTCAATATGTTGGATTTGCTCTCACCTGGCTGACAATGAGAGTACTCAAGGCACATGGCAAATGCACTGGGTCAATCATTTTGTGGTTTAATTGGACTTAATGATTTTCCTTATTAAATAAGCCCTGAGCCCCTGAAGTCCCTTGTGACATATGGAGGGGACGGTTTGCACGTGTGCTGGTGCAGTGGCCAAGCAGAGGTGACACAAGTCCCTCTGAACTCCTGCTGTGCTGGTGGCACGTGGGACTCACAGCCACCCCTGCTGCCCTTGCTGGGGGTGCTGGGAGCTTCCCTTGCCTGCTGCTGCTGCCAGCCCAGCCCTGGATCCCCGACTCCACCTCGATTTCACAGGGGAAAATCTGCTTTTGCTGGGTAACCTGCCTTTTCCTGCAGCCCATCCCTGTCCCTGGTGTGCTGCTGACCCTCCTGGTGACAAACCCTGCTGCCAGGCTCCCCTGTCCCTGTCCCTGGTGTGCCCCTGACCCTTCTGGTGACAAACCCTGCTGCCAGGCTCCCCTGTCCCTGTCCCTGGTGTGCCCCTGACCCTTCTGGTGACAGATCCAGCCCCCTCAGTCCCCGAGGTGCCCCTGGCAGAGCCCCAGCCTGCCTTGGCCTCCCGAGCAAGGACAATTTCCAGCCCTGGAGGGAGCTGAGCCGTGCCCAGGCAGGAGATGGCATCACAGGGAGGCAGAGAGGCAGGGGTCACTCAGAAATCCATCCTTGGGCTTTGGGGTGGGCTCAGCAGGGTTTATCTCCTGGCTGGCAGTCGAGAGGCTCTGAGAGCATTCCTGGTGCTGCTGTACCTGTCCCTCAGCTGGACTTGCCCAGCTCTTCCCCAGGGTTTGGGATCCTGTCCCTTTCCCCCACTCCCCCCTCCAGCTCCCCCTTTTCTTCCTCTGTCTCATCACAATGGAGTTCATGTCTGTGTTTATCCCGTGGTGGAAAATAAATGAACCCTTTAGGTAGTATCATCTTTCTATGTGTAAAAATAATGATTTAATCAAATCACAGTGATTTGAAGTAATAAGAGATTCATTGTAATTTGGAAAATCTCATAAAAGAACTATTTATATCTCTTAGAGGTATTTGCTGAAAAAGTAATTTGCTAAAGTATGAAATATGGAGAATGTTGGGGAATCACTAAATCTTGTCACACCAGTGCAGTGCTTGGTCACGAGCAGGGGTGAGAAGGGATTTTTCCTGCTTCTGCATTTAAGCATCCAGCGTTTTTTGCTGGGTCATCGAATCCCCCGAGCCCCCGAGCCCAGCAGTCTCAGTTCAGCCCCGTGTGTGTGAGCTGTCTGCCTGTTTTCAGGTCAGAAGGGCCAAGCACAGGCCCAGGTGTGAGGTTGGAATGTTTGCCTTGTTCACCTGAGTGTTACGGGTCAGGCTCATTCCAAAAAAGGGTCTAAAATGAGAGAAGCATTTGAGATTTCCACTGGCACAGATGGACCTGCAGGACAGCCCTGTGGGAACAGTCCTGGCTGGTAAAATAATCCCTGGCAGTGTCCCAGGCCAGGCTGGACACTGGGGCTGGAGCACCCTGGGACAGTGCGAGGTGTCCCTGCCATGGCAGGGGTGGCACTGGGTGGGATTTAGGGTCCTTCAAGCCCAACCCATCCCACATTCCTGTTCCAGGCTGGGAAGGGCAGTGTCCATCCATCCCAGATTCCTGTTCCAGGCTGGGAAGGGCAGTGTCCATCCATCCCAGACTCCTGTTCCAGGCTGGGAAGGGGGGCAGTGTCCAGGGGTGCTCTGGGAGGGGCTCTCCAGGACCTTGGCTCCAGGAGCAGCATTCCCAGGAGCTGCTCTGCAGGAGGGAGAGATGCCCAGGGCTTTGTCCAGCCCTGAGCCCATCCCACTGTCACCCACCCACTTGTCCCAGTCAATGGGAAAGAATGGTAACAAATGTTCCCTTTTTAATAGGGATCCATATTCCTGCCTGTGAATGCAGAGGGATCATTAAACCAATCAATGGGAATGTTATTATTTGTTATTAAATCTGTAAAGGTTCAGAGTAATTCATATGGAATTCTATTACAGTTTTATCAGGACTCATTGATTTTACATTATTAAGTTATAGAGCACTTTCCCCAGAGGTCAGTGAGCTTGGCACGTGGGGAGGGTTTATTGGTGCTCTCTCCCAGCCATATGGATGTTGTAGATCCTAGGACTGGCTATCCCCTTTGAAATGCTCTTTTAATTAGGAGGAAAACTAAAATACGCAGCGTTACAGGAAAAAGTTTCAGTTGTGTGTCCCTAAAACCTGGCTGTTTTCTGAATATTTTCCGTAGGAAATTTAATCCTCTAAATGGTGAGCATAGAATTACAGAAGAGTTTGGGTAGAGAAATAGTACTGGCCCTTCCAGAGACTGCACAGAAATGTTCCTGAATCACTAATTAGTTACACCAGGTGTCCCAGGAGTTCTAACCAATTATTTACTCAGTCTGTGGCAGGCCCAGGTGAATCCCTGCCTCAGGAAAACAGAGCAGGGAGAGATGGGGGGCTCTGCCACCCCAGGATCTCTCTTTCCTGCACTTGGATCCATTTCGTTCTGGGGAGGTTTCGTTTCAAGCTGCAGCCCCCAGTCAGGGCAGGGAGTCAGTGGAGCTCACAGAGTGCACCCAGGGACTCAGCAAAGCTGCAGCCCAGCCCTGAGGGTTTCTCCCAGCCCACTTGGTGGTTTTCTTGCATTTTCCCATGGGCTGCTTGCAGTCCTTCAGGCCGGGGGTGTACTCTGGGCTTGGCACCCTCCTGCTGCCTCTCTTGGACCAGGGACCTACTTTTGCTTTTAATAAACTGCCTCATTTGCTGGTGAGGCTGAGCTAAAATGTGAATTAGCTTTCAGGCTGTTTCTGGAAGGCCTCAGTGCTGATGTTTCTGCTGGTCTTTGGAGATGGTGTGAGCTGTGCCTTCAGAGCTGGGGATGTGTGGAGAGCAGCAGACTCAGCCTGGGACAGCACAGGTTAGAGCTGGGTCACTGGCACACAGAGCAGGGAGAACAGGGGCTGACCCCGTTCCCAGCTCCTTTCCAATTTGAAAACAGCTGGCTTTGTGCTATTTTTATCCCTGGTGGAAGGGCTGTCGTGCTAATTTCACCGTGCCAGATGGTTTTCCTCAGCCTCTGCTCCATCCTGGCTGTGCCAGCCTGCCTGGCTCTCCCCACCTATTGCAGCAGGGAAATCCTTGGCTGCAGTGCCAGGCAGGTCCCCCTTTCCATGGAAGGTGTATCTGCAGCCCCTCCTGCCTGCAGGCCTGTGGGATGGCAGTGGAAGCTGCCTTGGGAACAGCAGGGTTTGGGGTGCCAGGAGCTGTGGAAGGACAGCAGGGTTTGGGGTGCCAGGAGCTAGCCCTGCCCTCTCCTCCTGCAGGCTTTGACACCTATTTCACCTCTCGCACCCTGGAGAACAACAGGAGGAACGTGTGGTTTGCAGAGTACTGGGAGGAGAACTTCAACTGCAAGCTGACCATCACTGGCTCCAAGAAGGAGGACACGGACAGGAAATGCACAGGTAATTACTGAACTCTTCCTTCCCCTCCTCGTGCTCTGGAATGGGGGACCAGGAGTGCTTTTGTTTGAGCGAAGGGCGGCTGGAGGGGTTGGTTTGTTTTAGATGGAGAATGGAACAATTTAGGAAGGAATTGTTCCCTGGCAGGGTGGGCAGCCCTGGCACAGGTGCCCAGAGCAGCTGGGGCTGCCCCTGGATCCCTGGCAGTGCCCAAGGCCAGGTTGGACACTGGGGCTGGAGCAGCCTGGGACAGTGGAAGGTGTCCCTGCCATGGCAGGGTGGCACTGGGTGGGATTTGAGGTCCCTTCCAACCCAACCCATTCCAGGATTCCATGATTAGAACAGCCTGGAGAAGCGTTGGGCACAATGTCCCTCTGTGACACAGAAGCCACAGCTGGTGTCACTTGATGGCCATCCCAGCCCTGCAGATCTCCCAGCAGCAGTTGGAGTGGGTCATGGGGGAGGATTGCCTTCAGTTGTCATCAGGGGAAACCAGTTCATGGCAGGATTTGTTTTACTTTGAGAATTGATGAAAGCTCCCACCCAGAGGGGTGTGGGGGGAGTTTGGGTGCCAGGGAGCAGCTCAGCACTCCTGGACACAGATCCTGGCCCAGAGCAGTGTGGAGGGTTTGGGTTGGAGCATTATCCAATGCTTTGTGGTGAGCAGAGAAATTTAAAAGCTGGTCTGCTTTCCCCAGGAAATGCCATGGGCATTGCTGGGTGGTGCTGAGATAAAGGCTTTTGGCTCTAATGAGATCTGGTGGCTGAGGCTGGGCTGGGGGATTCTGTCCCTGCAGAGCTGTTACTGGGTCCTGCAGGGCTTTGTCAGGTGACAGTGCAGGGATTTCACTGCACAGAGGCCTCCTTGTCATCCTCTGCTCCTCCCCATTACAGTATTTACCCTGGCATGTTGTGGGTGCTCTCGAGCCCTGGTTCTCAGCTGTTTTCACATACAGAGTTTGTGTGGAGAAGCCCTCAGAGCCCTCAGGGGCTGTGTGTGCAGGGGCTGTGCTGTCAGGGAGGCTGTTTGCAGAGCCCTGTGTGCAGGGATGTGTCTGTGCAGGGTGGGCTGGGGCTGTCCTGTCCCCCAGGCAGGGCTGTGTGATGGTGCTGGGGCTGGATGAACACTGATATTTTCCTGCCAGCCCTTCCCCAGCTGCCGAATCCCACCTTGTGCAAATAACAGCTGTGTGTTTGATACCGTGAGCATTCCACAATCTTTAAATTAAATCTCTTGTTAATGATGACTATCACCAGGTTCTCAGCAGCACTATTGTGTGAGACCCTTTGAAAATGTGTTTAATTCTTCAGGAGCTGAAGCAGTCTCTGAACTCATCTCGCGCGAGCACCGATGGAGTGGGATTTTGATGTCTGTCTGTGTGAATTATATGCCATAAAAATCGTCCTAGAGATACTATTTATTCCTCCTAACACATCCCCTCTGTTGTGTGGTGATAACAATGAGTGCAGAGGGATGAGCTGAAGCAGAGGCACTGGGAACAGGCACGTCTCTCCTCTCCTCTCTGCGCGTTAACGCCGCCTGCGCCGAGATGAAGGAGGGAGAGCAGCAGTTCTCAAACCTGCATCTCACTGCTGGCATCTGAAAGAGATGGAACAAGTGGGATTCTTCCTCTCTGTTCTCAGCACTCTGGGTTTGGAGCTTTTTTCCCTGCCTTTGTTGCAGTTGATCTCCTGTGAGGATGTGCCTGGAGCCGGCCCGGCTGCTCCAGCCCGGCTGCTCCGTCTCTCAGGAATCAGGATGATGAGCACTCGAGCCTCGAGTAGGAAGGGGGGGTTAAACTGATTGTCATCACCTTCAAATAGATCCTTTGGAGGCAAAAAATGCTCATGTCAATAAACTGCTTTTGTGTTTCATCCTTCTCCTGACACCCCAAGGTACTCGTGGCAGACCCGTGGGACAGAAGTGTGTTCTCCTGAAATCACGTTGTGTTCGAGTGTCCCAGGTGCCAGCAGCTTCACTGCTGAAGCAAATCGTGGGGTTGTGTGGCTCCTGCAGATCCCCACGCTAAAAAAAAACAACAAAAAAGCACCTTCTTCTCAAAGAGGAGCAGAAATTATACAGTTCTCAAAGAGGAGCAGGAATGGTTTCTGTTCAAACAGGAACAGAAATGGTGCAGTTCTCAATGATCAGAAATGGTGCAGTTCTCAAAGAGGAACAGAAATGGTGCAGTTCTCAATGATCAGAAATGCTGCAGTTCCAAAGAGGAGCAGAAATGGTGCAGTTCTCAAAGAGGAACAGAAATGGTGCAGTTCCAAAGAGGAGCAGAAATGGTGCAGTTCTCAATGATCAGAAATGCTGCAGTTCCAAAGAGGAGCAGAAATGGTGCAGTTCCAAAGAGGAACAGAAATGGTGCAGTTCTCAATGATCAGAAATGGTGCAGTTCTCAAAGAGGAGCAGGAATGGTGCAGTTCTCAATGATCAGAAATGGTGCAGTTCTCAAACAGGAACAGAAATGGTGCAGTTCCAAAGAGGAGCAGAAATGGTGCAGTTCTCAAAGACAAACAGAAATGGTGCAGATGGGGTTTGTTTTTGCTTTCCCTGGTTTTGCTCTGACAGCACAGAGGGGCTCATGGTTTCTTGCTGCACCCGTTTTTAGGTTGGTTCTGCAGCCTTCCCTCCGTGGGACCCCCAGGATGTCCCGAGGTCTGGGCTGGGGGTTCTCTCCTGCCCCTTCCCCAGAGGCACCCACAGCACTGCTCCTGCTGCTTTCATCTGGAGGAGCTCCGTGCCTTTTGGGAGCTTCCTTCTCCTGCAGAGCAATTAATAATTGAATTCCTATACTCCCATATACAGGAGCTGTTCCTGGAGCCTGTGGTAAAACGTTCTGCCTGACTTCTTCAGCTCAGCCTTGGAGGGGGAAATGTTCCCCACAATAACGTTGAAGTTGGAATTAAAATTGTGCCCATCACCTTTGGTTTATTCCTGCCTGAAAATGGACTTTGGGCCTGATTTGCTGCTCACTGCAGCAGCAGGAGGGTGACACAAACTGGAGGGAACACTGTTCAGCCAGGCCTGTTAATTTGGATATTTGCTGTTTTCTTTGAAGTCTGAAGAATATTTGGTCCACAACATTTCATAACATTTCATAATCATAACATTTGCTCTGCAGGTTCTTTGCTGCTTCACATTTGGGTTCAAATTCTAATTGCAGTGGAATCTCTTTAGGAGGTAACTCAGCCTGTGCTTTGGTGAAGGACAGCACGCTGCCAGTGTATAAATTCAGACACGTTTGGGGTGAGCAGTTACATTTGGCTCCACATCTGGATTTTCTGTGCACAGCTGATGTTTAATACCCAGCTGAGTGGCTGTTCCAGCACAGGGAAGCATCCTTGTTCTTGGAAATTCTACTGAGATTTGAAAACCTTTACTGTTTTCGTGTTTGGACGCTGTTACATTCCTCTCGGGTTTTTCCAGGTGTGTTTTGCTTGGGTTCCTCTCCCAGATCTCTTCACTGCTGCAGGTTTTCCTCCTGCTGTGCGTGTGCCCAGCCCTGCTTCTGGAACCTGCTGTGGCTTATCAGTGTTTGTGTGCAGCATTTCAATCCCAGATCCCCTCCCCTGGCATCCATTCCTGCTGCATTGCTCATTTGGTTACAGAGCTGAAACCACTTAAAAGCATTTTCCTTGTCAGGGCTTGAAATCCTGATAAGTTCTGTAATCAATGAGAGGGAGTGAATAATGAAAAGGATCCTGCCTGGAACTTCACCAGCTGGAAACTCACTTTTTCTGCTCACTTGTTTGCAGGATTTCAAGGCTTCCAGAGAAGCTGAGATGTAAAACTGGGGGGTTTTGGTAGAGGGTGCCTCAATGATCATGGAATCCTGGAATGGGTTGGGTTGGAAGGGACCTTAGAGCCCACCCAGTGTCACCCCTGCCATGGCAGGGACACCTCCCACTGTCCCAGGCTGCTCCAACCTGGCCTTGGGCACTGCCTGGGAGTTAGTGGACAGTTTCAGGGGAAAGGAATAAATCAGATTCCTGATTCTCAGCCTGCAGTGCCTCATTCCAGGCTCTGAAAATCCTGCTTGGTTTGCTGCCTAATTGCAGAGCCCCCTGACCTGTTCAGGTGACCAGGTGGCCCGAGGACCGGAGGGGGGTTAGGGCAGGAGCCTGCGATTTCAGATGTTTAGGTTCACCTCTCCCATCCTGCCCTGGAGCTCTGTGCCTGCCGGTGGTCTCCCACCTGCAGCCCCCCTTCCCCAGGTGCTCGCTCCGTGCCCTGGGTGAGCTCTCCCCGCCCAGGATCGGCTCCCGGGGCTTTGCCAGGGGTCAGCTCGGGGACTCCAAACGTTCCCTCCTGCTGCAGCATTTTCCAGGCACTCCTGGGCTTCGGCAGGACCTCTGAGGGGCTGGGGAGCAAGGCTGACAGTGGCAGGAGCATCCCGAGGTGCCGTTAATTGCCCGTTAATTGCCGGCACGTTCCTCAGTTCTCCGCAGCCCCTTCGGAGGCTTCTCTGAAGTGACTCTTCCTTCCCTTGATCTGGCTTTGACTTTTAATTAGAGCCCGGGATTTGCAGCAGAACACCAGGCTTTAGTACCAGCTGTGCCTTGCTATGAAGGCTCCCGTGCCCAGAGCCGGCTCCGGGAGCGATCCGTGCCCAGAGCCGGCTCCGGGAGCGATCCGTGCCCAGAGCCGCTCCGGGAGCGATCCGTGCCCAGAACCGGATCCGGGAGCGATCCGTGCCCAGAGCCGCTCCGGCAGTGCCCCGTGCCCACATCCAGCTCCGGGAGCGATCCGTGCCCACATCCAGCTCCGGGAGCGATCCGTGCCCAGAGCCGCTCCGGCAGTGCCCCGTGCCCACATCCAGCTCCGGGAATACTGACACCCCTGTCCCCTGCTGACCCCCTGTCCCCTGCTGTCCCCCATGGAGCTGGCCAGGGGTGCTCTGGGGCAGGTCTCTGCTCCCCGGGGCTTCAGGGGAGGTGGGGCAGTGGGAGCTCGGTGCAGCTGTGTGTGACAGGAGCAGCGTGGCCTGTTCTGCTGCTCTGTGTCCCCAGCCCCAGAGCTGGCCATTGTCCTGCTGGGGAGCAGCTCTGCTTGGCCCTGTGCAGCTGGGACCATGCTGCTTGTCCTGGCCTGGGCTGGGACCACCCTGGCCCGAGCTGGGACCACCCTGCTGGCCCTGCTTTGGGGCCTTGCCCTCCTTGCAGAGGTGCTGCCATCAATGCAGCCAGGCTGTGATGGGGAGGCTGGATGTGAGTGAGGAGCTCAGTGTGTATTTTGTGATCGTGTCCTGGAGGACAAAAGGCCCAAAATATGGAAGATTTCAAACCTGAAGTGCTCGCACAGTGAAATTCTGGAAGTTTTGAAGTGCAGCTGTGTTTTGGCAGTGAAAAGCTGGAGATGCTGTTCATGGGAGCCCCTTGGGTGCCCAAAGTGCCATGAACGTGCCCTGGGTACCAAACACCCTGGCTGGTGACACCTGTGTAACTCCTGTCCTCCTCTCCATAATTCATTCCTCATCTTGCAGTGATTAAGAGATCGAAACCCTGCAAATTCAGTCAGATTGTGTCTGGGTTTGAGGGCTTCCTGCAGGTGTCAAGTGCCCTGTGTCTGTGTGGGGAGAAGGCAGCTCCTTTGTTGGGAACTGAATTAAATTGTCACAGCTCTGCATGAGCAAGAAGCTGCAGCCTGGAGACTGACACAGGTTCTGAACTGCTTAGTGGGCTCAGCAAAATCTGGGAAATCTTAACAGAAAGAAAATAAATCCTCAATGATCAAAACCCAGTGAAATTATGACATGTTTTAATGATTGGAAGATCAAGGGTTATTTCTGAAATGCCTGTTTCCTCTCTGCGATGAGGTTTTCATACATCACTTTTTATTAATTTCATTATGCCATGAAAGGAGCCTGAGCTGAGGCTGGAACGCTGCAGTGATGCAAACCAGGACTGACAGACCCTGCAGCCAGGTGGCACAGAAAGGGCTCCAGAGCCTCACCCAGGGTTAAGGAGGGCTGGCCCCTGCTGAGCAGAGCCTTGGCTGGAGCCCAATTACTGCAGCTTCAAAGGCAGGAGAGGGGCACTTCTGCCTGCCCCTGCCCCGGGGTCAGCAGAGCTTCCCTCTCCCAGCTGCTCCGTGGATCCCAACCCTCCCCAGCCTGGCTGGGTCACTTCACGCAGACCCTGCAAGCAGCGTTGGCTCCTGCCTGCCCCATCCAGAGCATGGGTGAGCTCTCTGCTGGGGCTGAGCCTTGGGGGTCTCTGCAGGGACCCCACAGTGCTGTGCTGTGCCCTGCTGGGGCTGTGCCTTCCTACTGGGGCTGTGCCTTGGGGGTCTCTGCTGGGACCCCACAGTGCTGTGCTGCCCTGCTGGAGCCAGGGGCATCTCCAGTCCCTCTCAGTGGCTGTGCTGGGGGTTTGGGGTGCTGCTCCCCTGGAGGTGGCTGCAGTGAGTTCTTGGCTGTGTCCCCCAAGGGTTTGTCCCAGCACTGGCTTTGGGGGTGCTGTGACAGTGGTGTCCATCCTCCATCTGCCTCCTGAGCAGCAGCCCTGGACCTTCCTGTGTGTTGCATTTTGGGAGCTCACCTGAGCTCCCGTCGTTCCAGGTGTCCCTTTCTTGTGAGCTGTGACAAAGCTGAGCCTAACCCACCCTAAGCAGCCCTAAGAGTCCTGATCAGCCAAATCCCATTGAGCACTTTGCTGCCTTTGCTGAGGAGCCAAGGAATTACAGCCATTGCTTCTGATTGACTCTAAGTGTTTCCACTCCAATGTATTCTGGCTGCATGAATCTGTAATGACAATTAAATATCTGCCTGGTTCTCACAAGGAGCCAGCGAGGAGAGATTTCAGTGGGAGATTTCTGTACCAGCCTTTGAACTGAATTTGTATCTGATCTCAGAGGATTGTAGGAGAGACAGGAAACAATTTACCAGGGCTAGAATGGAGACTATGCTAATTCACTCCTTCAAATCTTTTTTTCACTCCCTGGAATTCAATGAAGAATGGGAATCATGAAGAAACCGATAATCTTAAAGTTCAGTGCTACAACAGGAGAGATTTTTCATTGCTTTAGGGAAAAAAAGTTACACAGGAGGAGGAAGCTTTGAATATAGATATGCTGGAGGATTGTCATAATCTTCAATCTTGACACAATATTACTCTACCCTCCCGAAACCTATTTTAATATGTCTGGAAATAAATGTCACCCTGGAAGGTTGTTCCTGGAGCTCTGAGGAAATGAGGCACTGCTCTGAGTTCTCCTCTTGGGAAGGTTCCCAACCAGTGCTGTGGTGATTAAAATAAATGCAGGTGTCCTGCTGAGAGCTCACCTGAGGTCACGCTCAGGGGTCAGGGCAGCACGCAGGAAGGGCTGGGGCTCTCTCACCCTGCACTTGCCCGTGTTTGTCACTGGAGTACATGGTAAAGAAAGTTAATTCAGGGTAGGGTCCTGCTCTGGGTCTGCCCAGGACACTCCCATGGGAGTGCCACAGAGCTCAGATAAGGGAGTGCACAGGGAATGCTCTTCCTGAATAAGGGAGTGCACAAGGAATGCTCTTCCCAGGAAAGGGAGTGCACAAGGAATGCTCTTCCTGAATAAGGGAGTGCACAAGGAATGCTCTTCCTGAATAAGGGAGTGCACAAGGAGTGCTCTTCCCAAGACTGCTCTGTCCTCTCCCAACTCCCATGACAGGAATGGAGAACATTGTGGAGGAGGATGCCAGTACCTATTTCTGGTATTTCCTATTTTAGTACCTATTTCTGGATGCTAATTTCCTATTTTAGTACCTACTTCTGGATGCTGGTCAAGACTCACCAGACCCGGGCTGGCTTCTGACACAGCATCTCTGGGAAGCAGCTGGGCCATTTTCTGGAGGGGGAAAGCAGCATTTAGAGGGACATTCACAGCAGTGGTTTCACTGGAGAACTCCCTGAGGACTGGGAGATGGGAGGCAGGCTGCAGGGGAGGAAGAAAAGCCTCCTGTGTTTCTGGTGCTGGGCAGAGCAGGGTGAGGCAAGGCTGACCTGGGCTGGCTGTGTTTATTCCCAGGCAGCAGGGCAGGGCAGGGCAGGGATGTGGGTCTGTGGGGTTCCATCCCCATCTGTGGGATGGATCTGTGACAGGCTGGCTGGTGGCAGTGTCCTGAGGGTCTGCTCTGGGTGCTATGGGGTGGATGGCCTCAGCCTGGAACGTGTGTCCACTGTGAAAGCTCAGATGAAAGACTGGGTGAAGATTTGGTGCTGGGTGGTTGGATTTTGTCTTGTTTCCTTCCCCCAGGCAGTGCTGGCACTCCAGTGATGTTCAACAAGAACGGGGACGCCCCGGGGCGCTACGACATCTTCCAGTTCCACAGCAGCAACACCAGCACGCCCGGCTACCGCCTGGTGGGCCAGTGGACAGACGACCTGCAGCTCAACGTGAGTCCCCTGTGCTGGTAACACCCCGTGTGTGGAGACACGAGGCTTGACTCCATTTTCATAAGGCTGGTTTATTATATTATGGTATATATTATATTAAAATACTGCATTAAAACTATACTAAAAGAACAGAGAGAAAAGATTGATCAGAAGGCTGCAAAGAACAAGAATGGAATGCTTAACAAAATCTTGTGACTCTCAGAGTCCAATGCAGCTGCATCTGTGGTTGGCAATCATTAATTAGAAACAACCAACATGCACCAGTCCCAGCTGTACCTGTTGCATTGCACAGCAGCACACAGTTATTGTTTACATTTCTCTCCTGAGGCTCCTCAGCTCCTCAGGAGGGAAAAATCCTAGCAAAGGATTTTTCATAAAATATCATGGCTACACCCCTGCTCCCCTGGCCGTGGGCACTCAGGGCTTCAGCCAGCAGGGATCTCTGCTGCTTCCTCACAGCTCCACAGTGCAGGTTTGGCACTTGTCTCCCTCTCCTCTGTCCTGCAGCTTCTCCCCGTAGCCAGAGAGCCAAAGCTCCTCAGACTAGCAGGGACACGAGGTGCTCATGCAAATTTTATTACTGCTGCGTGTCTGCAGGCCCTGGTTGCCAGCTGGGGAAATGAAGCTGTGATTTGGTGTAGTGTGAAACCGCTGGGCTTTCGCTTGCAGATGCTTTTTGGTTTTTCTGGTCTTTGGAAAGCTGGAACGAAATGTTTTCGGAGTGAGTCACTCTTCCAGTGGTGTTTTGAATCCGTGTGGGTGAGGTGCCCTTTCTGGGATGATGCTTAAAGGAAAACTGGCACATAGGAGCAGGTGCTCAAACACACTTTGATGTTTCCCAGAAAAAAATCCCCCAGCACTGGTGGGTGGCACAGCTGGGGAGCGTGTCAGCCTGAGCCCGCCTGGCCCGGCCTGGCCCTGCCCGGGCCTGGGATCCCTGCTGGCTTTGTGCACTGGGCCTCGGCTTCCCGGTGCCAGCTTCACCTCCTGCCTGGCTCCCTGGGGAGTTACCAGGAGACACGGACTGCAGCTCCCCGGGGCCCTGCAGCCACACGGCCTGAGGAGGGTGGAGGTGTTCCTGGCTATCGGTGGGAGCAGCCTTTCCTCCCTCAGCCGGCCTTCCCGGCCCAGGAGCGTCGGCAACCCTCGCTGTGTGGTGGCTGCTCTCTGCCTCTGCTGCCAGAGGGCCTCTGGGAGGGTGACAGGACAGGCTGTGTGACACAGAGGCGGCCAGGACACACTGGGGTGACACAGGGGGTGACCCCACAGTGACCCAGGGGGTGACACAGGAGGTGACCCAGGAGGTGACCCAGGGTTGACCCAGGGGTAAACCCACAGTGACCCATGGGGTGACACAGAAAGTGACTCAGGGATGACCCCACAGTGACCCCATGGTGACACAGGAGGTGGCACAGAAGGTGACCCAGGAGGTGACCCCACAGTGACCCAGGAGGTGACCCAGGGGTGACCCCACAGTGACCCCACAGTGATCCAGGGGTGGCACAGAAGGTGGCACAGAAGGTGACCCCACAGTGACCCCACAGTGACCCCACGGTGACACAGGAGGTGGCACAGAAGGTGACCCCACAGTGGCCCCACAGTGACCCCAGAGTGGCCCAGGGGGTGCTCCAGCCCAGCTCTCTCTGGACCCGCTGTCACACGCTGCACTTGGGGCTGGCCCTGTGGCCTGTGGGGACACTGGAGCTCCCCCAGCCCTCCGTGCCTGGGACACAAGCCCTGGGCTGCCCTCAGGGGTCACAGCCGTGCCCTGGCGTGGAAACAAAGGCCCCACACATTCTATTTTGAATGTTCTCCTGGTTTTTGTTAAATCAAGGAAATGATGTGGTCACCGAGGGTCCACTCTTGGAGGCTGATCACACACAGTATTTCACTCTCCTTGAATTTTGGCTCATTTTTATTTTCTGTGTTTGATTTGCTCTTTCAGTGCTTTTTGAATTTTGATGTTCTATATAAGGAAACCTATATTAACTTGCAATTTACAGTTCTTTTAGCAAAAAATATTAATATTTTATTAAGCAAATCCTTCTTTATGTAAACTGCACATCCTGACCCATTAAAATTTAAAGTGAAATTAATGGAGCTTGATTTGTATTCCTGTTGTTGTGTTAAATGTTTCCATAAATAGACCTCTTTCCTCACCCTTGCAGCCTCATGGCCACAGGGTCATATCAGTAGTTGAGATTCTCTCCCTGACTTCCCTTCTAATCACTCAAGTGTCCCAGTTTCTCTCACAAATATGTATCTAAGAGAGTCCCTTTTGTATTATTGGATTATTTCTTACAATAATAAGGACAATTGTGGAGTCTAGAGAAGTCAAGGATTCCTGGAAATAACCAAAATAAATTCCATTAAATGCATCCCAGGGAAAGCTACCAGAGGATGTGATTTGTCTCCAGTAATTATTGCAGCAATAACTCTTCAGGGGATGTTTTCCCAGTTCTTATTTCTCAAATACATCACAAGAGGGGGGAGCCAGGGGTGCTGGGTGCTTTGAGGAGGGCAGCTCTGCCGTGGTGCTTTGTGTCCCAGGGGAATCCTGGTCACTCCTGGGTGTCTGCATGTCCCTGGGAATGGGGAGAGCTCTGCACAGCCTCAAAGGTAAGGACCCAGCAGACCCAGGGACAGGAGGGCAGCAGCTGCAGGACACCAGCTAGGTGAGTCAGTATTTTCTTCTTTGTCATCATCCTCATTCCAGGAAGGAGCAGAAATGTTTCACTGTGGATTCCTCTGGCAGGCTGCTGCTGTGCAGTCTCTTGTGGGTGCCTTCAACAAAGGTCATTTCCCATTCCTGGTACTTTTTGGGGCATGGTGGCCACAGGCTGGATTAATCTGGATTAATCTGGATTAATCTGGAGAGCTGAACCTGATCTTTCCATGTTAGATTGCAGAGTAACTTCTGTTTCAGTTTTCTCTCTCTTGCTTGTGTTAGCAGACAGACTGAGGAGAGCTGTAGCAACTTCCTTGGGACTCCTCAAATCTGCTCTGTGTTCTTATTGTTGATAAACCTGGCTTTGTGAATTACCTGGGGCTGTCTGGATCTCGGGTCAGATAACAAAACATTTGATGACTTTTCACTGCAGCAAACTTGGGACATCACAACTGATGTGAGGGCAGTGCCATCACCCCCTCTTCCTTTGCCTGCTTGGCAGCAGTCAGCCCAAGCTTTGCCCAGCACCCAGTGCACGGGCAGTGCCAGTTTTGGCTGTGTGTCAGGTGTCCATGCAAGGATGAAATGAGCAGATGTCTGATTTTAAAGGCTTGGCCAGCATTCCATGCCAAGCACTGCAGTGCTGTGTTCTCCCTGCAGCAAGGGTGTGGAGCTGAGTGCCCACCCATCTCCCACCCTGGGGCAGAGAAGGGCAGGTCCCCCCTCTCCTTGGTGAGGACTGTGCCAGCTCTGCCCCCCTCCTCACTGGCAGGCAGATTTGGGCTGCAGGGTTTGTGGTTCACATCCTGCTGCCCTGATTTCAGGCTCAGAGCTTGGCCAGCTGCATTCCTGCTGCAGCACAGCCCCGTGACCCCTGGGAGTGGGAGGAGAGGTACAGCCCATGCACTCAGGCTGGAGAGAGATGTTCTGGCACGGGAGAGCTGGGCTTTAACCTAGGCCTGGGGTTCTGGGTGGCTGCACCCGTGCCCCAGGGCAGCTTCAGCCTTACCAGAGCTGCTTGGACTGCCTGGAGCTTTGATGTTTCAAATCCAGAGGTGCTGCTGGTGAAGAGGAGCCAGTCTGCTCTGGGCAGGATGAGGAGTGTTGTGGAGCAGCTGGCTTTTGGCTGGTTTGCCTTTCCAATGGCTCCTTTCAGTTGTTCTTAGGCTGGGTTTTCCTTTGCACCCAAGGCTTTGGTGGTTCCAGCAGCAGGGAATGGGGAGGATGGCTGAGGGCAGCGTGGCCAGGAGACAGGTCCTGCCCCCACGTGGAGCTCCTTGTGCCTCTCTGGATGTCAGAGGAGGAATGAACCCCTCTGTGAACCCCTCTGTGCCCTGCTGTGCCCCATCTCAGCTCGGGAGGTGTCCTTGCTGTGTGAGCTGTTTGTAGGGCAGCCTCTGGGGCTGCTGGAGAAGGGGCACTGGAGGAATGTGAGGAGCTGCCTGAGCAGCTCCCATACAGTGCTGGCTCCTAAAAATGCAGCTTCTTATGCTTGGAGGTGCCTGACACAAACACAAACACATCTCTCCTGGAGGAACTGATGTGCCTGAAGGAGGAAGAAATGGATAGCTCCTAGAGGAAGCACAGGTTCTCCTGGGAAATTTGGTGATATTGCTTCTCTTTCTCCAGGCACAGTTAACTCAGCAGGTCCCAGGTTTATTATGTTTCCCCACCTCATTCCCTGTGCAAGTATCCCAGAACTGTCAAAATCAATAGGTAAAGGAAACATTCCCTGTGAAATTGTTGTTTCCAGGTGTTGGCCTTGTGCTGAGGCTGCAGAGACCTGCCCGGGCTCCTGCCCGTGGACACGAGCTGCTCCTGGGATCCGTGGGGTGCTGGGATCTGCCAGGTGGGCTGGAGGTGCTGGCTGGACCCCACAGGGCAGCTCTGCCTGGGGAGGGCTGCTGGCCCTGTTCTGTGTGGGGGCACCCAGCCGAGCTGTGGGGTCCCCTTGGCCATCCCCAGCTCCACACAGGCAGGACACTGCCCTGTCCTTCATCCCACCTTGGGGCCCTGAGGGGCTGTGGGGTCCCCTTGGCCATCCCCAGCTCCACACAGGCAGGACACTGCCCTGTCCTTCATCCCACCTTGGGGCCCTGAGGTGCTTCCCTGAGACCTGCTTATTTGCCACTGGGGAGGGCGATCTTCCTGGAGCCAGCTGACGTGGGGCTGTTTTTCAGTCTGATTGTCTAATTAATGCTGTAATAAGGCCATTAGTGTCTGCACTGGGTGCACCATGTCGCGGGTTAATTGCAGCGGTGTCTCCGCCGTGTCAGACGCCGTGTTCCAGCTCTGTGCTGGCTCCTCACGGGGCACAGGGCACTCCCTGGGG